AATACCAATATACACGATGAACTGCCAGGGAAGCTGAACCAGGTAGGGAGTGACGAACACTCGGCCACCTTGGGAAAACACTTTTACAGGGTATGTAAAGAGGGAGATAGATTGCCATTAAATCTAGGGAACCTTGTAACAGTGGGAGGAAAGGCTACCAAGGCATGTGGGCCATTGGTTGGGAAAGTACGGAGCCACTCAGTCAAGGCTAGACATACGAAAGACGTTTAAGTTAAAGGAAAGGGTGCTAAGACCACCGGAACCAACAAGTTTACACCCCCAGAGGTCCACATAGGGGAAACTGGATGGTTGAAGTTAGACCAGAGTCTGCTCGGCGAGTGGCCGGACGGCACTCGTGTCCAGGGTCCGCTGTGGGGGCTCGTGGAAGGTGAACTTTCAAATTCAAATTCAAATTCAAAGTTTATTCTCTATAAGGATTACAATGCTGAGTTTACAGAAATTTGGTTATTGTGTGGTTTACATGTAGTAAAATAGTGATTACAGAGTGTACCACTAGAATGCTTAGCATGGCTAGGCATTTCAGGCAGACTTAGTTTTATTCTTAATTGTAAAATATTACAAATTATGAGGTAAGTTGGTATTATGGCTAAGTGACTAAATACTAGTTTGTGAGTTTAGCAATGTGAATGCTTTTGTTTTGGCACAGTACATAGTTTCAGTATTGGAGTATCACAGGATTCATTATTTTAAGATTGAGATTAATATTTCTGTTTATGGTCAAATGAGTGAGTGAGTGTAAGTGTGAACCACCAGGTGGTATTCGTGTAGTTAGTTGACGGGGTGTATCAGGGAGATAAGATGTTTTCTAATGGTAGTTTTGAAGATGATGAATGTGTCTGCAGTTCTAGAGTTCTCAGGTAGGGTATTCCAGATTTTAGGGCCTTTGACATACATTGAATTTTTGTAAAGGTTTAGTCGGACACAGGGAATGTCGTAGAGATGTTTGTGTCTGGTGTTATGCCTGTGGGTTCTGTCACAACTATCAAGAAAGCATTTTAGGTCAAGGTTGATATTAGAGTTTAAGGCCCTGTAGATGTAGATTGTGCAGTAGTAAGTGTGGATGTACTGAACTGGGAGTAAGTTTAGGTCTATGAAGAGTGGGGGGGTGTGTTGCCAGGGATGGGATTTAGTGATTATTCTTACTGCAGCTTTTTGTTGGATTATTGGCTTTAGGTGTGTTGCTGCAGTTGATCCCCAAGCACAAATAGCATAGGTGAGGTATGGATAAATAAGTGAGTGGTATAGTGTGAGAAGGGCATTTTGCGGCACGTAGTATCGTATCTTGGAGAGGATCCCAACCGTTTTGGATACTTTTTTGGTTATATGCTGGATATGGGTGCTGAAATTCAGGTTGTTGTCAAGGTATAAGCCTAGGAATTTGCCCCCATTATTTCTGGTAATTAGAGTGTTGTCAATCTTAATGTTAATTTGTGCATCTCCTGCTCTGCTACCAGACATAATATAGTAGGTTTTGTCAGTGTTAAGCGTAAGTTTATTGGCTGTCATCCAAGTCGATATGGTGTTGAGGGTGGCAAGATTAGGGTGAGAGATTACATAAGTCGTGTCGTCAGCAAAGAGAATGGGTTTCAGGTGTTGGGATATGTTTGGAAGGTCATTGATGTATATGAGGAAGAGCAGGGGACCAAGGACACTTCCCTGCGGAACTCCAGTATCAAGTGGCCGTGTTGCTGATGCTGTGTCTTTAATGGTGACATACTGATACCTATTAGTAATGTAAGATTTGAAATAAGCAAGCGCATGGCCTCTTGATTTAGACTTAGCACCTACCTTCGCCGGCGGGAGGATGTAGAAATTTATTTGGTCCCTAAAGTTCCACAGGACAGATCCGGCATACAAAGGGGGTTCCAGCATGGCTGTAATGGAACGGCTGAGCTGGGTGGCCCTTAAACCCACCCAAACAAAAAGCATTCTCCCCGAACATAAACACATTTCTCTCCCCGAGTTGGCGTGGATGGTAGGCACTTATTTATTTATAGATTTACCCTTCAGGGAAGGAGTAGGTAGTTTTACTGTTAGTATATTAATATTAGGTTTACTAAGGCAACTGTAGATAATAATAATGTAGACCTAAGACCTTAACATAGGTAGTAATAGGCCAATAATGTAGGCAAACACTAGGTTAAGTTAGCTAGGGAGAACTGGCAGCCCTAGCTTGAATGATGAGGCACGGGTCTCAAAGACATAATAGCATTCTTCTTAAGACAGACACCAACTGGACAAGACGTGCCGTGATCAGCAGACGGCGCCCCCCCATGTGTCTTCACATTCGAGACCTGGGGAAATCTGGTAGAGGCACCTCGATTTACCGTAGATGACCTCCTCCGTCAGGCCCATACAGTAAGACAAGACCTCCACTTTATCTCGTAGATTTCTGGCCAGTGTCTGGGGAAATTGTGAGTGAGTTGATCTGTGGGCCTGTGTTGCAGCTGAGAGTGCATGCCCAGTACGTACCAGTGTCTCTTGTCTATGTAGAAGCTAGTGTACATGTCTGCATAGTTGTACTAGGGGATACACACCCTCTTGGATATAGGAATTTCTGAGGTGCAGGCAGGTCACTAATAACGATTGAATATTGCAGGAATTAAGGCTCCCGGTTGCACGTGGTTTCTGAGGGGAAGTCCAAAGGGGCTAAGGCTAAGCTTAGGGAAGTTGAAGATCAGGATATATGCTGCAACACCAAGTAAGTTAGTCCTTTATACATGCATGCAGGCGAGTTTCTTGCAACATCAATCATTTGTGAAACCTGTCCTATAAGCCACTTGTGAGGCTGAGGTACCGACCTCAGAGCTCGGTGTCAACAGAGTTTGCCAGGGTAGGCGACTCACTTGGAGGCAGTCCACACAAATTTTCACAACACGGTTGTAACTATATTTGTGTATACCTTACATCTCCTGGACTCAAGTCCAGCACACTGGTTTTCCTTTCATAAATATTACCTTAATCACACTAACAGAGAAAAATGAATATTAGCGACAATAACCCATAAAAGATGTTTCTAGTTGTCACTAGTACAAACATACGTTCTCCAGTTACCCTTCAAGGAACACTCCTCAGAGGAGCACACCGTGTTGCCGATCTGGGCGCAGGTCCTCTCCTAGTGCTCCGGTTGGGGCTCCATATGTTCTATGTTTCCATGAAGGGACATTCCTTGATGTGGAAAAAGACACTTAAGTAGAACTCAGAACATTTATCAGATGAAGTATGGTGGCTAAAGCTCCCGCTTCACACACGGAGGGCCCGGGTTCGATTCCCGGCGGGTGGAAACATTTCGACACGTTTCCTTACACCTGTTGTCCTGTTCACCTAGCAGCAAATAGGTACCTGGGTGTTAGTCGACTGGTGTGGGTGGCATCCTGGGGGACAAGATTAAGGACCCCAATGGATATAAGTTAGACAGTCCTCGATGACGCACTGACTTTCTTGGGTTATCCTGGGTGGCTAACCCTCCGGGGTTAAAAATCCGAACGAAATCTTGAGTCCTTGATGCTGGTGAGGGCCTATTGATCCAATGAATGGAACCTGTACTCCCTTGGCTTCAACCTAATTATCTCCCATTACCCAGGTACTATATGACCCCAACGGGTTTAGCACTTCCCAGAGATATATAAAGGTTCAAGAATTGAAAAACAAAACTTTCAATATGATTATAATTCTCTTTTATACAGTTAGCACAAGACACAAACCTAACTTCTGTTTATCCTATGGTTGTAAGCACACACACGTAATATACATATCTATACCTTGCTGTTAAATGTCTTTTTAATGCAATCATATATATATATATATATATATATATATATATATATATATATATATATATATATCTTTCTTTCAACGTACCGGCCGAATCCCACCGAGGCGGGGTGGCCCAAAAAGAAAAACAAAAGTTTCTCCTTTCAAATTTAGTAATATATACAGGAGAAGAGGTTACTAGCCCCTTGCTCCCGGCATTTTAGTCGCCTCTTACAACACGCATGGCTTTCGGAGGAAGAATTCTGTTCCACTTCCCCATGGAGATAAGAGGAAATAAACAATAACAAGAACTAGAAAGAAAATAGAAGAAAACCCAGAGGTGTGTGTATATATATGCTTGTACATGTATGTGTAGTGTGACCTAACTGTAAGTAGAAATAGCAAGACATACCTGAAACCTTGCATGTTTATGAGACAGAAAAATGGACACCAGCAATCCTACCATCATGTAAAACAATTACAGGCTTTCGTTTTACACTCACTTGGCAGGACGCTAGTACCTCCCTGGGCGGTTGCTGTCTACCAACCTACTACCTAGGATATATATAATATATATATATATATATATATATATATATATATATATATATATATAATCCAAAAGTCATTGGTGAATCTTATAAAACCATACAGTATTACCATGAAAGTTTCCATTATTTTTTTGTTACAGTGGTTCTCGCACTTGTGATGATCTCTGCTTGTTGCCAGAGATATCCAGTGGGGCTTTAAACACGGAATCCGAAGCATTTTAAGCGCGTGAATGTTCACAGAGTATTCATTGAGGTGTAAAAGTGATGTTTATCTGGACTGTTTGAAGCGTGTGGGTGTACAGAGTATTTTGGTTTTTATCTGGTCTGTTTTAAGTGTGTGAATGACCACACTATTCAGAGGTCCTTAATCTGGTTTTTAACTACACTGTTTTATTTATCTAGTGTTCGGCAGGGCATTTAATGAGGCTGAACACCGATGCAAGTGGGTTCACTTACAGTGGGTCTGGGAGTGCAAAGAGCCCCATCGGTGAGGTCTGTGTCCCATTTTGTATCTAATATTGCTAAGACCACGGAAGCCGGGCGGCAGTTTTGAATCCTGCTTACTGTGAGTGTTGCATTTTCCCTTCCAAAAAAGTATATATATATATATATATATATATATATATATATATATATATATATATATATATATATATATATATATATATATATATATATATATATATATATATATATCTCACAGTAAAAATGGGTTAAATTTGCCGATGTTTTCGCAGGAAAATGCAACTCTCTTAGTGTGCACGATACGAAACTGCTGCCCGAAATCTTCACGTTCTCATGAAGTATCCTCTTTTGACAGTAAAGACCAGAGGATATCCCTGGCTCACTACCACAGACACGCCTTCCTTCTTCAGCTCCTCGTGCAGTGCTGTCTCCACCCCGGAGGGCAGTCCGAAGAACTTCAGCTTAAACTTCGCCCCTGAGGACCAGTGGTCGTGGAAGCACGCCCCGAGACTCTTAGCTGTGTCTCGATCAAGTTCCTGGTGGTCGATGCGGTAGTAGCAGAGAGATAGCTCAGCCAGACGTGGCAGACTACTCACCAGCTGGTGCAGGAAGGTGGCACTGCAGGGCGGCAGGTGGGACAACCCGCAGCGCACTTCGCAGACTTTATCCAGCATCAGTACTCTGAGTTCCCCGCAGGAGCGCACTGTGTTGCCGATCTGGGCACAGGTTTTCTCGTAGTGCTCCAGACGAAACTCCCAGTTGCCTAAACTAAGTTCTCGCAGTTTTCTGAAGTTGGTGCCCAGTAACTCGAAGAATTTACAGGCTGCGTTGTCGTCTAGAATTGTCGCCTGAGTGTGGGACGACGACAAGTCTAGGCTGGTCAGGCTGCAATAGTAAATGGAAATAGTCATTGACTTTTTTTAGGTTATTCTGGTGGGTGATCTAAACATACTGCTACGTATAATAATTTATGTAACTGTGCGTACCTGTACATGAGTAAACTTACTAAATATAAGAAATGGTACACAAGTGTGTAAGAGAGAGAGAGAGAGAGAGAGAGAGAGAGAGAGAGAGAGAGAGAGAGACAGAGAGAGACAGAGAGAGAGGAGAGAGAGGGAGAGAGAGACAGAGACAGAGAGAGGGACAGAGAGAGAGACAGAGAGAGAGACAGAGAGAGAAACTCGACTAACATATTCTGTAAAACTGAATAGCCTAATTAGTACCAATGCCACTAGGACTCATGTGGGTTCAGTGCTTTCCTGTGAATAATAATAATAATACTTCAATAAATACTGTGAACAACATCCTAAGTAATTTACACTATGTATAATAATTGTACTTATGTGTCTCTGTACCTAAATAACCTTACTTAACTCTCATTATCAACAACAGAAACTTCCACTGAACAACAGAAATTTGTATTACGAATAACGGTGAGAACACTTACATAATTAGAAAAAGCTCTATATTTTTTACTGGGGGGAGGGGGGAGGGGGAGGTCACGTACTTCGAACCAGAAAAAGTCATGTTTTAAACAAGTACAGTCGGGTTAGGTCAGGTCCATCATGAAATAGGACAAAGATACGGTCACCTCTCTCACAAATCTCTATATGGCGCAGTGTTTTCGTAAATGCCACTGGGAGGGGGGAATATACATCCCAAAATTGAACCCTTGTGGGTTTAGCCTAGTTATGATTATAATAATAACATCCAGAACTGAATAACGTGTGGAGAATCCTTCACAATTCGTGCTATTCAATTTTCGACTGACTTTTTCAGTCTCATTGACGAACAAAACTGCATTATATGGAGGAATTGTATAACAGAAGTTCTGCTGTATGACCCTAGTGGGTCTAACGTTTAGTTTTAATGATGATAATAACAGAAGTTCAGCTCTGAACAATGAAGATAGCGCATCTTACTTGGGACAGTTCCTGAGGATAGACAAGAGGAGGTTACTGCGTCTTATAAACCCAGGCTGTTCCTTCAGTTTGACCTCTGATAGCCTAAGAGTCTTGACGCTCGACCAGTGCTGGATAGGTCCGTGGATGGGCAGGAGGATAGGTGGGAAGAGGGTAGGTGAGGTGGACATACCAGCACCTACGTCCACAATGCAGCTGGATAAGTTGAGGTCGACGACTTTCCAAAAGCTCAGTAGGTCCTTGAAGTAGAATGAGGCTAGAGCCTTATCCTGCAAAGAGGAATCTGGGGTCAGTTACGTTAAAAGGACGGGGAATAGGACCTATCTTCTTTACTGGATCAAATATGATTGTCTCCCATTCCCCAGGTGCTGTTTAATCCTTGCGCACTTTAATAATAATAATAATCTTTATTTCTACAAGTACATGATAAAACTTATACAGACCATAGCTGACATCAATGACATACTATTAGGAAGTCCCTGGTTATATAGAGCATTTCCCAACAACTTAGGTTAATTTTGTCTCCCAGGATGCAACCCACACCAGTCCACTAACACCCAAGTACCTACTTACTGCTAGGTGTAGTGACAGCAGGTGTATAGTGATTAACACCCAGGTACCTACTTTCTGCTAGGTGAAAAAGGACAGCAGGTGACTTAAGGAAACACGCCCAATGTTTCCACCCATACCGGGACTCGAACCACGGACCTCTCGCTTTATGTTCATAATAGACACTGAACACAGTATCTGAAGTTAAGCTGACTCGAACCAGAAGTTGCAACCTTCAGAATGTGGTAGGTTCTTACCCGGAGGATGAACAAGTAAGTGACAGTTACCTGGAGGGTGAACTAGACTAACCTGGAGGGTGAACTAGACTAACCTGGAGGGTGAACTAGACTAACCTGGAGGGTGAACTAGACTAACCTGGAGGGTGAACTAGACTAACCTGGAGGGTGAATTAGACTAACCTGGAGGTGAACTAGACTAACCTGGAGGGTGAACTAGACTAACCTGGAGGGTGAACTAGACTAACCTGGAAGGGTGAATTAGACTAACCTGGAGGGTGAACTCCCAGTGAGCGAGGGAGAGTGACTGGAGGGTAGTGTTGTGACGTAAGGCAGTACACAATAACTGGAAGCTGTATCCTTGACCACAACATTGTGGGAGTCCAGCTTCACCGTCTTAAGTGACTGTGATTGACCTAAACCCAGTAACACTGGCATGTATTGTTTGATCTGTGGGAATGAGAAGGTTGATTAGGTTTAGTGTACATGAATGGAAATTAGACACGTGCAACATTTGGGTATCTTTACTGTATACGTTTAGCCATCCAGTGGATATAGCAATGCAAATTCTAGGACATAATTGGAAGACAGTGGAACTATGTACTAAAGATGAGGTAATCAATCCCCCAGCATTGAAGATGGTGTGAAGAGCACCGTAGTCGTCACGACTACGGTGCAGTAGTCGTGACGACTACGGTCTTCCTAACCTAACCCGAAGACCAGCGTCAGGAAACACTTGTCCTGTTTTCTGACAAACCTTACCTAACCTAACCTGAAGACCAGCGTCAGGAAACACTTGTCCTGTTTCCTGACAAACCTTACCTAACCTAACCTGAAGACCAGCGTCAGGAAACAATTGCCCTGTTTCCTGACAAACGTTACCTAACCTAACCTGAAGACCAGTGTCAGGAAACACTTGTCCTGTTTCCTGACGAACATTACCTAACCTAACCTGAAGACCAGTGTCAGGAAAAACTTGTCCTGTTTCCTGACAAACATTACCTAACCTAACCTGAAGACCAGTGTCAGGAAACACTTGTCCTGTTTCCTGACGAACCTTAACTAACTTAACCTGAAGACCAGCTTCAGGAAACACTTGTCCTGTTTCCTGACGAACCTTAACTAACCTAACCTGAAGACCAGCTTCAGGAAACACTTGTCCTGTTTCCTGACGAACATTACCTAACCTAACGTCTTATAACAATGTGCTATGGTTATAATTATAACTTGACCTCTATTGCTACTCTGTTCCTCTCTCTCCTCCTTACCTTCACATACCTACTTTAGCCCCAGGAGCCTCAGAGAGGTAAAGTACCTAGTTCTCCTTACCTCCACGTACCTACTAAAGCTCAGGAGCCTCAGAGAGGTAATGTACCTATTCCTCCTTGCCTCCACGTATCTGTTTAGTCTTAGGGCCCTCAAAAAGGTAAGGTACCTAGTTCTCCTTACTTCCACGTACCTGCTTAATCCCCAGAACCCTAAGAGACGTCAGGCACCTAATTCTCTTTGCCTCCACGTACCTGCTTAATCCCCAGAACCCTAAGAGACATCAGGCACCTAGTTCTCCTTGCCTCCACGTACCTGCTTAAGCCCCAGGAGTCTGAGAGACGTCAGGTGCTTGGCTCTCCTTATGGCATCGCCCAGGCAGGCCAGGTCGGAGGTGTTGAGATAAAGACAAGGGTAGTCTAGTGCCAGGTACCTGACACTGGTGTCAGGGAGGGCAGAGAAAAGCTTGTGGAACATCGATTTATGTTGACCACCACGCATACACAGTGGTAATGGTAGCTGCTCCCCGTCTGGCAAGACCAACAAGAATTACTAGGATTATCATGATAATTAACACGATTATGATAATTAGGACAATTATTACAATAATTAGCAAGATTATTATGACAGGTGGTAGGAGTAGCTGCTCCCCATTTGGCAAGAACAAGAATTACTAGGATTATCATGATAATTGGCACGATTATTACGATAATTAGCATGTTTTGACAGTAGTGGTAGCTGCTCCCCGTCTGGCAACAGCAACAAGAATTACTAGGATTATCATGATAATTAGCACGATTATTACTATAGCACGAGTATGATAATTAGCACGATTATAATAATTAGAACCATTATGATTGCACGATTATTATGACAAGTGAAAGTTAGCACGATGGGACTTTTTTTGACCTATTATCGTCAAAATTAAAACAATTCTAGTTTTTTAGGATAAAAAATAAAAAAAAAAATATTAAGGAAGGTAGTATATGACAAAAATAAAATACTGTATAAAGAAAATACACAGAAATACAATACTTAATAAAGAAAATAAAAATTACATAAAATACTGCAAAACGTAAAAATAAAATATATTTAATTCATTATATATATAAAAAAAAAAAAAAAAAACGCATGCATCGACACCATGCCCAGCCCCTCTAGGGTAGGGTAGGTGCCTGAGCCCGAGCCTTTAGCTCATAAGACTGTCATTCCCATTTGCCCCCTTGGGGCGGGGATGGCAGACCAGAGAGGCCTAGCTTGTGGCTAGGCCTGGGGACAGTTGGTTCCAAAGATGAGGAGGTACTTGTGCCTCCTCCCATGGGAGACTTAGGTCTCAGACACTCCCTAAAGAGGGAGCCAAGGCCGGGCCACCACTTGGACAAGGCCCGGGCCGGGAGAATACCGGCTAATCTTTAACTAACTAACTAAAAACGCATATAACATCTCCCCGATGACAACTGGACTTTTCTCAGGCTCATCTACAATTTCTTAACAGGAAGAATCATCCCCACCTTCCACGGAGCGGAATCAACCCCCTTCACTCCAACAGCAGGAGTACCCCATGGCTCTTGCTTCAGCCCCATCCTCTTCAACATATACGTCAACGACCTCCCCCAACCTGAACATACCGACACTATCATTACCCAATTCGCAGACCGTGTCATCCATGTTGTCTCCTCCACCCAAACAGCTGGTGCAAATAAGCATAGGAGAGCAATTGAGAAAATGAATGAAGAACTAAATCGAACAGCCAGGTGGGAGAAGAAATGGAGAATCACAACCAACCCAGACAAAGTCCTCATCAGCACCATCGGGTGCTTGCCATCAACCATAGAAGACAAAGGGGGCATTTAAATCAGAGGCACCCGAATTGCTATTAGGAATCCAAACAAGATCCTAGGATACGAGATCGGCAGATTATTCAACTCTACATCCCACATAACCAAGAAAGTAAACCTAGCGAAAGCCCGTCTTGGCCAACTTTATCGATTCAAAGCAGCTCCTCCCCATATCAAACTACACCTGTAGAAGATGATGATCAGACCTCTGCTGGAATATCTCTGTGTACCCTTGTCGCTCACAACCAAAACCAACATACTAAAACTCCAGAGAGTCCAAAACAAAGCCCTCCGCTTCGTCACGGACACCAGACTCAGAGACAGAATCAGAGCAGAGGACCTACACATACAACAGAGAATCCCCGCAATCAATGTCCGGTTAGACAAACTTACTAAGAGACAACTATATGACATGCAGGAACTTTATGTGTCCGACAGAATCCCCCTCAACCAGTGAACACGACCGACTATACCATTACCACTCCTCCCCACAGATCCCAAAGAATGACCCTCCTACAAAGAGTTCGACGCTTCATCCACAAGAACTTCCCTCGACCGAAAATTTTAAGCGACCTCCCAGCAGAAGAATGGATACCACCGGAACCATTCTATGTCCAGTAACTTGGACTAACGCTCCCCATCTCCGGGTGACCCACCTCTATCAACCTACCCCGCACAACTAACCTTGTTGCACCTACAACTACCCTCTAGCAGGACACCACCTCAGTCACTGCCTTGCCGGCCAACTCCAGGTGAGCTACCAACCTCCATCAAATGCCCGGCAACCTTCGCCTGCAACTGCGCCCTTCTGACCAACCTCTTGCGAAAAAAAAGGCAAGCAATTGCACGCAGTATGCATCCTTCCAATTCAGTGGCGCACTGGTATACCAACAATATAGTAGTGTGCAGTTGATGGGCAGGAGGCATACCCCACTCATATAACCAATCTCTTTATAAATTACCCAATATGCACACACGCGTATTCAAATTACACCAAAGTGGATAGGCCACTACCCTTTTATAACCCCACCTACCCCTCCTCCCTCCCCAACCTTTCCTACATTCCATCCTTACCCATCCTTCTTCCTACCTCCCATCTTACCAAAGCTCTGGTCAGAACCATCGAAACCATATATCATCGACACCATGCCCAGCCCTTCTAGGGTAGGGTAGGTGCCTGAGCCAGAGCTTGCAGCTCACAAGACTGTCATTCCCATTAGCCCCCTTGGGGAGGGGATGGCAGACCAGAGAGGCCTAGCTTGTGGCTAGGCCTGGGGACAGTTGGTCCCAAAGATGAGGGGGTACTTGTGCCTCCTTCCATGGGAGACTTAGGTCTCAGACACTCCCAAGACAGGGAGCCAAGGCCGGGCCACCACTTGGAAAAGGCCCGGGCCGGGAGAATACCGGCGAATCTTTAATAAATAAAAATAATAAATGAGGAGTAAGACAGAACAAATGGGAGATAAGAGAAACACAACAGTAATAACCATAGACGGGGGGAAACAGGAGAGGACATAACGTACCTCCGTTAATGAAGAAGAAACCCCTGGCCTCGTACTTGTGTTTGACACCTGTGTGTAGTGGGTCCTGGAACAGGTACTGGAGCTCTTTCTTGGGATCCAGGAGAGTTCCTGCTCTTTGGCTCCTCTGCTCAGGCTCCTGCTAAGGAATAATAATAATAATCTTTCTAGCAGTACATGATACAACTTGAAATTAAGACACATGAGCAACATCTGGGTATCTTTATTGTAGACGTTTCGCCATCCAGTGGCTTTATCAATACAAATTCTAGAACATAACTTGAAAGACATTAGAACTATGTACAGAAGATGAGGTAATGTCCTTCAACCTAGGAGTAGGTGCGAAGAGCACCACGACTATGGTGCTCTTCGCACCTACTCCTAGGTTGAGGGACTGATTACCTCATCTTCTGTACATAGTTCTACTGTCTTCAAGTTATGTCCTGGAATTTGTATTGATAAAGCCACTGGATGGCGAAACGTCTACAATAAAGATACCCAGATGTTGCACATGTGTCTTAATTTCATCTTGTCGGTATTATATACCATTCTTACACATGATACAACTTATACAGACCATAGCTGACATCAGTGAAATACTATATAGAATGTCCCTGGTTATACCTGGAGGGTGTTTTGGGGGTCAACGTCCCCGTGGCCAGGTTCATCCCCAGGTCTTGTGGTGGATCAGGGACTGATCAACCAGGCTGCTACTGCTGGTCGGACGTAAACCGACGTATGAACGACAGCCCGGCTGGTCAGGTACTGATTTTATACGTCTGTCTGGCTCCCTCTTGAAGACAGCCAGGAGTCTTGAAGACAGCCAGGAGTCGAAAACAACCAGGGATCTTGAAGACAGCCAGGGGGCTTGAAGACAGCCAGGGGTCTTGAAGACAGCCAGGGGTCTTGAAGACAGCCAGGGGTCTTGAAGACAGCCAGGGGTCTTGAAGACAGCCAGGAGTCGAAGACAACCAGAGGTCTTGAAGACAACCAGGGGTCTTGAAGACAGCCAAGAGTCGAAGACAACCAGGGGTCTTGACGACAACCAGGGGTCTTGAAGACAACCAGGGGCCTTGAAGACAGCCAGGGGTCTTGAAGACAGCCAGGGGTCTTAAAGACAGCCAGGAGTCGAAGACAACCAGGGGTCTTGAAGACAGCCAGGGGTCGAAGACAACCAGGGGTCTTGAAGACAACCAGGGGTCTTGAAGACAACCATGGGTCTTGAAGACAACCAGGGGCCTTGAAGACAGACAGGGGTCTAGAAGACATCCAGGGGTGTATTGGTAATTCCTCTTACGTATGCTGGGAAGCAGTTGAACAGTCTTGGGCCCCAGACACTTATTGTGTTGCCTCTCAGTGTACTCGTGGTGCCCCTGCTTTTCATTGGGGAAATGTTGCATCTCCTGCCAAGTTTTTTGCTTTCGATCAACAAAAGACTTGGCTGATGGATTATGGTCCGTATTACGGTAGCCCGTTACACAGAGGTCCCTTACAACCAAGGTTTACTCAATATAATACTAATGGAGTGTAGATAAATGGATCAGATACCTGGGTATTTTTATTTTATTGAGGAAACGTTTTGCCCTACACAGCAGGCTTCTTTAGTCGAGTACAGAAGAAGTACAGATGCAAAAAAGATGTAATCAGTCCCTCATCCTTGAAGACGTAGCTTTGAGGTGGTCAGTCCCTGAGCCTGGAGAAGAGTTCAGCTCCACTGGACTGATGAAGCCACTGTGTGGCGAAGCATTTCCTCAGTGAATATACCCAAGTGTTGCACAAGTGTCTAATTTATCAGCTTGTGGCTACAATAAGAATCTTATTGTAGCCAGCTGGCCCAGTGGTTAATGCACTGGCCTGGGGTTTTACGACTCACTCGCTATGAGTTCGAGCTCCATCCGTTCCCTGGTTTAGTTTGCAATCGTGTCATAAGGATTTCGAGAGTCTTGCTTATGCTATGGGGGTATAGAGTGGTTGGGACGGATCCAGGGAAAGTCACAGGAAAAAAGGTCACTGGAAAAAGGTCACATGGAAAGGGTCACAGGAAAAAGGCCACAGGAAAAAGGTCACAGGGAAAAGGCCTTAATCGATTTAAAATATTTTCAGTGACTTTTTTCTCAGCCAAAACTGTGACTTCTTCTCCGTGATCTTTTTTTCAGGACACCTACTGGGTCACTGCCGCCTCACCTGCCTCTGGAAGGCGTCTCTGCTTTCCTTCGTGGCCTGGCGGGCCATATGGACCTGTCCCGTGTGCATGTCTGATGGGGTAAGGTGAGTCTTGCTCATGAACGCCCCACTCTGGTCCATCAGCTGGGCCTTGTTCATCGATACTGCAAAATAAGAACCGTAAGTCACAGCAATACTAAGGACCCCAATGGAAATAAGTCACCGTGCCTGACCTTTTTTAGGGGGTTATTCTGGGTAATTTACACAAATGCTACTTTGCAAAACAACCACCATGAAAAAATAGTGAACTCCCAAGTTCCTTGATAATGTGAGAAATCACGAAAACGTTTGGACGTTCATTATATTTTTTCACAGTGGTTGTGTTGCATACTGTGATGTCACCTGTTTACTGTGATCTTATTCCATATGTTACGATATATGATAATTTGTGTATTTATTTACGTGTACCTGTACCTAAATTAGCTTACTGATGGTATTCTACAGGTCACTTTGTGCCACTCACACATCACTTTCCGCCTGTATTGTTATTTTTGTGTTAGAAGTGATCAAGATCCCAAAACCGGAATGTTTTCTAACAAATATGTCCTAGTGTTTATTTACGTGTTTTTCTAAACCGGTTGTGAACCGTTTCAGACATGGTATTGTAAGTTTGTGGGTTAGTAGTGAACTGTTACAGCTAGGGTACTGGGCCTTGATATTCTCTGTAAACCTATCACTCACTGCAAAGTTTGTGGAGATTCTTATTCTTCTTAAGAAGATCAACGAGGCTGTCGAAGCCAGCTGCACCGTGGATGAGGCCCGTGAGCTGGAGCTCAGCCAGGTTGGGTGCACACCTGCCCAGTCTCTTGCACAAAACCTCCAAGTCATCATCTTGCATCTCCATATCCAGACGTAAGACCTCCAGTGTCTCCATGCCCTTCTGAAAGTGGACATCAGAAGTGGTCATTACTGTTATTATTATCATTATTAGGAGTAGTAGTAGTATTAGGGAGGGAATAAAGCAACGGTTAACTGCATGATTTGTCAACACAAGTTCACACACACACTGGGTTGACCGCTCTTGATTATTTGATGAATAAGACACTCGTGCAACATCTGGGTTATTTGTCGAAAACCTTGTATTTGACTGAAGAAGCCTGTTTTATAGGATAAACATTTCGCCCATAAAGACAGCCAGGTGTTATACATGTCTTATATACTGGTCAGTATTGTATAGTGTATACCATCAAAATTATGATTAATCAGTTGAATTTAGCCCCATAATTGCATAAACCTCAATAGATCTAACACTGGAGCCTACGATTACAAGTCTTCAGGGTACTCAATGGTTTTAATTCCACCCTGCCCATACACGTTCCCTTACCTTTTCCATATGACACGTCGCCCCCTCAATGGCTTTTCTTAAATGGCTGGAGACTTTCATTTTCAGTTCTTTTATCTCAAGCTCTCTCAAGTTCTCCTTGGTCAGTATCCCCTGCAAGTGGGAGAAGAAGAGTTCGATCTTTTCGTTTGAGAATGGTTCTCCATCTTGTGTGGCTCTGATGCTGATCTTAGTGATGCTGGTGTTGGATCTGAGGGCGCTGAAGAAGGCAGTGTAGAGCTGGGGAGTCGCTTCATTGAAGGAGCTCTCCTGGTCAGGATTGGTGCTCTTGATCCGCCACACAATCTCCAGGGACTTGAGTTTCTTGAAGTTTTGAGCAAGGATGAAACTCCAGCCCTCGAAGTCCACATCGCTGGTGTGGACGATGGCGTTGCGGCGGTCCAGCAGCTTGGCGACAGCCCGGCAGTTCTCCCTGGTGGGTTCGGTCTCCCGCAGTAGCATCAGCAGTTCCTGGTCCTTCATCTGTAGGAATACCTGGTGCTTTCTGCCATCCAGGGCTAGATGGGCTTTCTTCCCCAGGATGCCAACGACAAACTTGAGGACGTGTTCATGACGATACACCTTAGAAAATTCTCGACATTCGCGACACTCACTCTTGTCTCGTTCTATATGATTGGCCATGTATAAACCTGCCACGTACTCTAAGAAGATCTTATGAACTGGCTTATAGAACTTCTTGTATCCTAGAACGTCATTCTCACTGTCATTGGACAAAAATCCTAGCTTTAATAACATGGGATAATTCTCAATTTCCTTAATCTCTTTCTCACTAAAGCGAGTCTTTTCTGTCTTCAAAGCCTGTAAACACAACTTGCCGAAACTAAGAAACAGATCCGCATACTCTGGAGGAAAATTTTCAGTGTTCTCGTCCACATTGCCCTCTTTTTTTATATTCCACTTAATGAGACACAACATAATCTTAAACATCATATCAGCGAGTTTCTCCGGCAGCTTGGCTACCCTGTCCGAGCCGTACAACATGCACAGCAACACACAGAACAGGGGACGTTTGGCCAGTTTCCTGTACTTGTAATCTTTCTCAATAATTCTCTTCAGGTTCCTGCCGCACTCCTCCTCGTTCACTAGCTTGAAGTACTTGGTCACGAACTCAAACATCTGAGCCTCGTTGAAGCCCTTAACGATGGACCTTTGAGCGATGGTCTTCAGGACGTCTGGACGGGCGGTAACCACCACCTTGCTGTTTTGGAAATCCCGGTTGCCCAGGAGTTTATGTATCTCTCCAGCATCAGTCTTCTCCAGTTCGTCGTAGCCGTCGAGGATAAACAGAACTTGCTCCTCATGCTTCTTGCAATACTCCCACACCTGCTTCAGTCTGCGGAAAATAACAGAATATAATTGCTTATCTGTACTATTTGTAACGCCTACATTTATGTTTATGGATCTTCAATTTCCTTATACATAAGCAATAATAATTATTGCCACTGAAGTTTTAAGTTTGGCTCAAGTTTGCCCAAAATGCTCTGCATAACAATGGGTTTTTAACATGTGCTAAAGTGTTACCCATTCCTCTATAAACAATATATCATGAGACTGGAACAATACATGACTGGAACAACTCATGACGATGTTTCCATCCGATCGGACGGACCGAAACAACGTCATAAGCTTCGTTCTCCTATGTACGGGTTATTTATGGATAATACAGTATTAAAGGAAAGAATGACTGTCTCGTGACTAGCAGACGACAATCCAGCATCCTCGATGGCGGATTCCGTCCTAATGTTACCTTATCTTCCTCTGTCTCCTGCCTTCCTCCTAGCCGACGGTGGTCACTGGAGCTTCTCACTCTCGCCGTAGTAACCATCTAAGAGCCTTTTTCACTAATTACATTAAATGACCCACAACAGTATAACCATTTCTTCTACACAAATCTACCTGCTTTGGTTTGCAAATCCGAGACTTCTGGATGTATCAACTTAACCCCTACTTACATCCACTCACTTAAATTCACTTATAATTACTATGTTTTAAAGATGCGGAGATTCTACTACGCAGACTAAAGTTTTAAATATCGCTAAATTTTGCAATATTCAACTATCAAGTCTTAATGAAAAGTCCAATATTTTTTTTCTCTTAGAATGACATGTATAACATACTTGAAGAAGGGAATATTCAATGTAATCTGTAAGGCATACAAACGATTGAGAAAGGTAAGAAGCGTGGCAGGAGGCAGACAGAAAGACAAACAGAAAGAGAAGCAGTCAGTCTGCTTATAAATAACGTATTACCACTAATTTTCTTCGCTTGTGTGTGTGTGTAACCTGATTCATATCTGCATTAATAACTCATTACGACTGTGACCAAATATAAACATATAAATTATTTGTTACCACTTTAACTTGTTTGGCTATCAAATATTTGTGGCTCAGTTCTCGGAGCCATTATGTACCTCTGTAATGTTCAGGTACAGTCCCTGGAGCCATTATGTGCCTCTGTAATGTTGAGGTACAGTCCCTGGAGCCATTATGTACCTCTGTAGTGTTGAGGTACAGTCCCTGGAGCCATTATGTACCTCCGTAATGTTGAGGTACAGTCCCTGAAGCCATTATGTGCCTCTGTAATGTTGAGGTACAGCCCCTGGACTCATTATGTGCCTCTGTAATGTTGAGGTACAGTCCCTGGACCCATTATGTGCCTCTGTAATGTTGAGGTACAGTCTCTAGACCAATTACGTGTCTGTAATGTTGACGTATAGTCCCCGGACCCTAATCATATGCCTCTGTTACATTGAGGTACAGTCCCTGAACCCATTATGTACCTCGGTAATCTTTTGACTACCGTCCACAGGATGGGTATGGGGTGCATAATAAAAATATTAAACTGCTTGTATATAAAAACACAAAAAAGTGAACTCACTTGTCCTCGAAGTGAGACGGTAGCAGTTCCTCCCTGACGTACTGCTCCAGGTTGCCCTTGAAGTCACGAAGGAAGATGAGAAACACAAACTTGAACTCTTGAAGGCTGGTCTTCTTGGCCCAGTCGATGGCTAGTTTCAGGGCTAGAAGGGTCTTGCCCATCCCCGGCTCCCCTTCCACCAAGAACCGAGTCTGTGGGGTAAGAGGGAACGGCTGCACAGAAGAATCGACTACTCAGGGATATAAGCGTTTCTATATATTTTCTCCGTATCTCTTTATAGGCTGTTTCTCTCTCTTCCTCTATGCGTGTAACTACTTTCTCTCTTACTCCTTCCTCCTCTCTTTCATTACCCTATTTTATGTGGTCCTCCCTGTTTAAACTCTCATTATCCACTCTATTTTCCTCTTCTTATATATTTCTTCCTCTCATGTATATCTATTCTCCTGTTATCTGTCAGTTGTTCTGGGGATGATCTTCCCTGTGGGCTAGTCTCAGATCAGGCCTTCTAGGCTGGAAAGGAAATATTGCCGGATGATGTACCATTAATAAACACGTAGCCTATCAATTTCATATCGTTTATTCTCGCTCTTCAAGGAACCTAAATGGAAATAAGTCACTTTTGACTTTTTTGGGTTATCCTGGTGGGTAATTTACACATAAGTTACTATATATGATAATTTGTGTATCTGTAATTACGTGTACCTCTACCTAATAAACTTATTAGTCACTGAACTAGGCTGAAAGGCAGCCTATCACTATTCTATATGTATTTATCTCTCCGACTTACCTCTTCCTCCTGCACCAGATCCCTCACTAAGTTCACGCTCTGGCTGGTCTGCCTGCCTTGCTTGTCGACTGCTAGGATGCGAGACTCGGTGTAGAACTCCGTCATGGGAATGACCTGGCGGCCCCGGAGCCAGGGCAAGAACGAGGTCTTGGTCTGACGGATGTACACTGTGGAGAGCTTGTCTCTCACCTCCGTCAGTAGAGACTCCAGCTCCTCCCTCTGGTGGTGGTGACTGGAGGAGGTGATGGTAGTGGTTGTAGCTGTGGAGGTGGAGTCCACTGGTGGAGGAACGGACTCCAGCGGATGCTGTAGATTATTATTATTATTAATTACATTATTATTAAAATTATTATTATTATTAGCTTTCCTCGGGCACTTCCCACTCATTAAAACGAAAAATAAAAATACTACGTATGCATTACAATAAGCGATGGGATCACAGACTGAGGAATGGGAGCCAATTTAGAGGCCTGGAAGAGGGAGTGTAACTCCAGTTCCTGAGATCAAGAGCCCTTCATGAGCATCAAGACACTAGAAGGACAGGAGGAACACATCCAGGTGTATACACGAGGAGCAAAGGGGCTGGCAGTCTGGGTTGGAAAAAGGGGCTTGTAGCAACGTTATTATTGATTTTTTTGTTGGGGACTGATGGAGTTTTGTGAGGGGGGCCGAAGCTCCCTTCTTTGCATCGCCAGTGAACACAGCAATATGACTGACCTTTTCACAGCTGGAGTGAGTGTATATAATCTGGGTACCGATGACAACACTTCCTTCCCCAGCGATATTGAAGGTCCCTGGGGTGAGAGGCACGCCACTCATGGGTGGCAAGCCCAGGGGTGTCTGTGGTGCAGCAGCAGTGGAGGTTAATGGCGGGTGCTGTCCGACACGACACCCTGGACGACCAGCACCAGTCACAAGAGGCGCAGACTTCTTATCTGGTGCTGACTGCGTGTAGAGGAGAGGACTGTGTGGCTGGTGTACCTCAGGGTGGAGGGGTGGAGCCGCTAGGTTGATACACAGTGTCCCGGGGCCCTTCTTCGGCGCCTTTTCTTCCCACCGATGGCTCACCAGGTCCGCTGATGTTTGTTTCATGTCCACCCCTGGAATTGGTGAGGTCACGGTGGCGTGTGACATGTCGTAGAGGGGACCAATGTGTACCTTGGAGTCCTTGATATCAAACACTGAGCCCAGGAGATTGATCTGGCTGGGATCCTCGTTCTCCAGGTCAGGCTGGTAGAGGGCGTTCTCATCGTGGTAATATTCCTCCTGAAGGGTTTGGGAGGTGTCGCCGTGGCCGCCCCAGAGGTGCTCAGGGCCAGAGAGCTCGCTGTCGGAGGCTTCACTAATGGAGCTCTCCGATGATGCCGAGTGTCTCTCTCCCGCCGCAGCACTGGCGTTAACATCACTTGAAACCCTATCCGCCTGCATTCCTTCTTCCTCCTTTTCTTTTGCTGTTCCCGCCTCCCTCACCGCCACGCAGGCCTCGCTAAATGCTCTACCAGCTTCGCCAAACATCCTCCCTGCCTCGCCAACCGTTTTACCCAACTCTCCATTAACCCAAGACTTCTGGGTCGTGGAAAGCCAAGGACTTTCAGTCTCCAAACTGGAGGAGTTTACAGTGACTGTCGTAGTTGTGTTACTAGCGTGATAGACAGTCCCTTCCTCATCCTCTGGACACAGCTGCACATTACCCACACCCTCAATCACACCATTTACGCAGAAACTCTCACTCACGAAGTCTAACCCGGTCAACCCATTGTGGGTAACACCTATTTCGTCTGGTCTTCTGCTATCCCTGCTATCTTGCGTGTCGAAGCTCTCATCTTGGATACGCCCGTGTCCTCGAGGGGCACCGCACTGCCCATACCCACCTGAGGTAGGCAGGCAGGGTATGGTGGTGCACCCATTCATCTGGTGAGGGGGCAGTGGAGGGGGCGACGTGCCCCCAGCTTCGACATCCAAAGTCTTCTCCGGCATCATAGTATTCTGAGGAAGAGACGAGAAACATTCAGTAAGGTCTCTGGCTGGTGTGTATAGCAAGGAGTTGCTCTTGGCTTTAAATACCCTCCCAGTTCCCAGGGGCTGCGTAACCCTAACGGGTTGAGCGCTTCCCAATAAAATAAATCTTAAACTCAAGTCCTAATGGAGGACTGTCAACGAATAAACAGGAAAATGGACGAAGATGTGAACCATGAATCGCGCACAACATTGGACTGGTTATAAGCAAGAGCTCAGGATATTGGTTATATGACTGCCTATGGTGCTTAAAAAAAGCCTCTTATCTCTAATAAACAAATGAAAACAACAAAAGTTCAAAATTTTTAAATAAAATCATACAATTCTAATGTAATTTATTAAACAAATCAAAATTAAAGTGATGGGATGGTAAGCCAGTGGAAGGTCTCGGTCAGATGACCAAAAGCTCCAGCTGTGGGTCATCATATGACTAAGACCAGCGTCAGGAAACACTTGTCTTGTTTCCTGACAAACCTGACCTAACCTAACCTTCCATTACAATTTCTAGCGTATGTTAACAATGTTTTTCTCCATATATAACACCTATAATGTAACACTTCTTGATAACTTAACTGGAGAGTCAGTAATAATGATAGAATTACCGGAGAAATGTTAGGGAATTGGACACAGATGGAACTAACGTTTTATTGTAGCAATGTTTCGCTCTCCAGGAGCACGAAACGTTGCACCAATTAAATGACATATTAGATGCATCTGTGTGCATGTACCTAACAAATGGAGAGTTGTGTGATTGAGTACAATAAGAGTAATAAGGTAAAATAAGAGACGCACCAGGAGCCATCTTGGTCACGTCTCAAGGCCGAGTCAGCGCAACAAACTCTCCATAAAAGATTATTGCCAATAACATATTTATTCGCTGCAGAAAATACATTAATGCATTCAGAATACTGTATTAATTAGCAAAATAATAACTATACTCGCGTAGACAATATCAATAAGAAAAGTTAAACCCTCAAAATTTTCAAACATAACGTTCTGTTATCACTTTTTTTTTAAGACAATATATATTTTTTAATTACTGTGATAGCACCAATGGTTGTAACTGACCATAATTTTTAAAGGGGTGGACTGGTAAGCCAGTGGAAGGCCTCGGTCAGAGGCCCAACAACTCCAATGGCGGGTCATCAACTAAGACCAACGTTTGGAAACACTTGTCCTGTTCCCTGACGAACTTACCTAACCTAACAAGCCAGCGGAAGGCCTTGGTCAGATGACCAAAACCTCCAGCTGTGGGTCATTCCTGCTTCCTGACAAACCTTACGTATCCTATATTATATAAAAGTCAAGTGACTAATCTCTCTCTCTCTCTCTCAAGTTATATAAACGTAATCTTGTGGTGGTAAAAACAATGCCTTAATGAATCTATTGTAGTCGATAGCCTTGAAACCCCATTAACCAACTGACGTGTAGAAATATAATGTTTCAAGCCCTTAACTGCGAGTTTCTTCATTTCCACCATCATTCCATCCATTCCACCATCATTCCACCATGGATTCTATACTACATTTCGTTTTAAATTTATTCTATAAATGATTTTATCTCTTTTGTTGTTGTTGTGTGTGGTGGGTCCGGGGGTGGGTCAGGAGGTGGGTCAGGGGGAGAAGGATTCCCTCACCCTCTGCACTATGGACTCCCTGAGCTACAAGAACAAGGAGTGGAGCCTGGAGTGTTGGGAGAGAGGCTGGGAGTTGAAGACCTGCTCGAAGGACAGGCTTGGGGACTACTGTCTTTCGATGTGCGTCCATCACGGCCTTAATTCCACCTGTGTGTGCGACAACGAGGCCTCTACTGGTGTCCTGAAACCCTGCATGCCAAAGGGATCCACCCCAGGATGGACGGGGCCTAGGGCAGAGATCCTGGCAGACCCCTGCGTCCCTTGCAACACCCTGATCCTAGATCTACCCTGCCAGGGGTTGCAGGTTCCCTTCAGCTGCTACGCAAGGACGGCGCAAGGCAGTGATCTCTGCGACACCTGGCCGCAGTGCGCCATGGAGCGAAACTTCCAGTCGACTGATAAACAGTACCCGTGCCCAGACCATCGTCAGGGGCCCTACTGCGCATATGACCTCCTTCAAGAACACTATCTATCCTTGAACTTCCGTAGCATGAGGGTAGGCCAGGAGGAAGGTCTGACGATCCATGGAATGGACACGTTCATTAGGGTTCGCGTAAATGAACCACAGTACATGACCCTGGTCTGGGCTTGGGACTCTTGGCGTCATGACGAGGAGATGTCCACTGCAGACGTGAGAGTCCTGGCCACCGTCCCCACCACACCCATCACTGCCTCTCCCCCTACACACGTCTATACCAACGATACCCACGTCTTCTGCTCGTGGGAGATAGTGCTGAGGAAGCTGGGTTGGTATGATGTACTAGTGAAGGTAAGCTACAAGAACGACCACCAGTATCTCACCTTGATGGACGGTACCCGCCGCCGCGTCAAGACACACTCTCACAGCTTCCACTACAAGATAGAGGTGAGGAGGGCGCTAAACCCGTGCCATTCCGTCAGTGTAATAACCCAGCTGGAGGAAGAACATACATGGTCGCTGCTACGTTCCTCTCGTCTGCTCCTTGAGGCCATCTTCCACCCAGCCGACTTTGACTGCCGCCCCCACCCCGTCATCCCCACCTTCTGCTGGAGCCTGGAGCCTCGAAGCCCTAACCTCACAGTCAGTGCATGTAAGAGTGAGCCGGGGGTGTGTTTATCACAGGTGGAGGTGCTGGAGAGGGCCGCCTATAGCCTCGCCGTCGGGAACTACACCGTGCGTCTCATCACCAGTGTGTCAGCCACGCCGCCGGAGGCCCACCCGGTGCAGTGTATAGAGAAGGTGGTCAGGGTGAAAGCATCACCCATCTCTGCCACGATCACGGGTGGAACGTCTCTGACGCAGATGCGAGGGGCCCCGCTTGTGTTGGTGGCCACCTGGGAGGACCCCGACGAGCCCCAGGGGGCCTCTACAAACCACCTGAAGGCACAATGGTCATGTAACACTACATATGCGACCCAGGGGACCATGTGTAGTGTCCCATTGGACCAGGACTATAGCATTACTACAGCCGACGGCGGGCGGTACTTGATCGTGGCTCGGAACAACCTTCAAGTGGGACACAACTACACCTTCACCCTGAGAGTCTGGGATATCACAAAGGAGCGGCGGGAGGAGGCGCTGACGCAGGTGACAGTAAGGGTTGTGAGCAACCCCGTGCCCACACTCAGGGTCCACTCCGGCAGGAACACCTACAACTTGAACCCCCAGGACAGGTGGGTGCTGTGGGTCGAGTGTATAACTTGTCGAACCCACCCCATCCCCGTGTACTATAATTGGAGCATCGCTAGAGTCGACGTCGACCCCCCGACGGAGATACCCTGGGCTAGGGGCACCGAAGCAGGTGTCAGAGAGGGCTTGGAACTAACTATAGTGGCTGTGCTACCTGGGCAGGTGGCAGGGGGCGCCAGGTACAAGGTACAAGTCAGAGGACAGTTCCGGCCATCCTCTGACCTACACCACCAACTCCTAACAGACCTCACTAACATAACCAACTCCCAAAACTGACCTTTCTCAACCAGATTTTTTTTTAACTCGCCGGCCGTCTCCCACCGAAGTAGTGTCCCGCAAAGAAGGAAACAGTGTTTATCATCATTCACTCAATCACTAGTGGTCTTACCAGAAGCGTGATGCCACACAGCTTAGATGACCCTACAAAATCCTTCTCATTCAGAGTGGTAGATAACAACCACCCAGGGAGGAAATAATAATAATAATAATAATCTTTATTTCTACCAGTACATGTTACAACTTATACAGACCATAGCTGACACCAATAACATACTAGTATATAGAAAGTCCCTGGATATGCAGAGCATTTCCCACAGATTATTTCAGTTCACCCTATTTAGTTTACCTTATTTTAGTTTACCGTATTTTTTAGTTTACCTGTTGAAGCAAACAGTACCAGGAACACCCAGCAGGTATACTTCCTGCTGAGAGTACCGGTAGTTTACCTGTCTACTAACCATTCACAGCATGACTACCCCAAGTAACAATACTCTGGTAATACTTTAGTACTTTACGGTTTACTACTTTTAACACGACACTGAGAGTGCACTGCCAACTGTTGGGTATCTTTATCCCGAAACGTTTCGCCCACAGAGTCGGCTTCTTCAGTCGAATACAGATTCAGCAAGTGTTTGAGGTAGTCAATCACTTCAAATATTATTTTGCCAAGGTTTTGCGGACTGACTGCGTCATTTATGTTTTGCTTCTACACTTGCTGAGTCTGTATTTGACTGAAGAATCCTGCTGTGTAGGCGAAACGTTAGAACAATAAGGTTATCCAACTGTTGGACGTGTGTCTTATCAAGAACGACTCCAGACTGAGGGACTGATTACCCGCTTCTTCCCTTCATCTTTCACAGCATTTCTGGGTATTGGACTGAAGAAGCCACTGGCTGGAGTGACGTTACTCCCAATGAAGATTTCACAGACGTTGCACAAGTCGGGTTTCGATACCGTTTACACTCCAGAGGAGGCAACAGAGGTGTCTAGACACGACGTTATCAGTCCATCACCCTCGTGGATGTGGTTTTGAGGGGGTCAGTCCCTCAGCTAAGAGTCGTGTTCCACAGTTTGGAAAAAGACGCTCGCAGAGAGTTATAATGAATCCAAGAGTTTTCTCTGTAACATGAACCGGGTTTAACTTTTTCCTGTTTGCGTCAGAAAGATGATGCGTGACGTCACTGGTGAGGGTCGTAAGATACACACAAGTGTAAGACTCACAGGAGAATGATGGTTCGATCCCACAGTATGACAGAGGCTGAGAGAAAGAGAGAGAGAGAGAGAGAGAGAGAGAGAGAGAGAGAGAGAGAGAAGAGAGAGAGAGAGAGAGAGAGAGAGAGAGAGAGAGAGAGAGAGAGAGAGAGAGACATATAAGCTTAGCTCTGATAGGTAGGTTGACACTTA